AATTTAATTAATTCCCATTTATTTATTTTTGTTGTTGCTGTATGTGATTTGGGGTCTTAGTCATAAATTCATTGTCTAGACCAATGGCTAGAAGAGATTTTCCTACATTTTCTTCTCGAATTTTTAAGATTTCATGTCTTACATTTAAGTATTTTATCCATCTTGCATTAACTTTTCTATACGGCAAGAGGCAGGGATCCTGTTTCATTCTTCTGCATGTGGCTATCCAGTTTTCCCAGCACCATATCTCGAATAAGGTATCCTTTCCCCAGTCTGTGTTGTCGTATACTTTGTGATGATCAGTTGGTCATAGCCATATGTTTTATTTCTGGGTTGTCTAGTCTGTTTCATTCTTTGATGTCTCTACTTTTATACCAGCACCATGCTGTTTTGGTTACTAGGGCCTTGCAGTATAATTTGCAATCAGGTAATGTGATGCCTTCAGATTTAATCTTTTTACTTAATATTGCTTTGGCTATCCAGTCTCTTTTTTGGTCTTAAATGAAGTTTAGGATTATTTTTTATAGGTCTGTGAATATGACATTGCTATTTTGATGGGGATTACACTGAGTCTGTAAATCACTTTGGGCAGTATGGACATTTTAACAATCTTGATTCTGATAATCCATGAGCAAGGGATGTTTTTCCATTTGTTTGTGTCATCTACGATTTCTTTATTCAGTGTTTTGTAGTTCACCTTATAGAGATCTTTCACCTGCTTGGTAAAGTATACTCCTAGGCATTTTATTTTCTTTATAGCTATTAAGAATACACTGCGTCCTTAATTAGCCTCTCAACTTGACTGTTATCAGTATGTAGAAATGCTCCTGATTTGTGTCAATTCCATGAGTCTTTCAGTGAAGTCATTACAGTTTTCTACTTGAAAGATCATATTATCAGCATACAGGGATAGTTTGACTTCCTCTTCTCAATTTGAATACCCTTTATTTCTTTCTGTTTGCTGATTGCTCTGGCTAGGACTTAGGATGTTATGTTGAATAGAAGCAGTGACAGAGGGAACCTTTCCTTGTCTTGTTGCAATTCTTAGGGGAAATGATTTCAACTTTTCCCATTTATATGATGTTGCTCTGGGCCTGTCATATATGGATTTTATAATTTTGTGTCCTATTGTTTATATGCCTAGTTTGTTGAAAGTTTTTATCATGGAAAGGTGCTGGATTTTATCAAATATTTTTTCTACATCTATTGAGATCATCATATGGTCTTTGTTTTTGCTTCTGTTATGCGGTAAATGTTATTGATTTAAATATGTTGAACCATCTTGGCATCCCATAGAACTTGATCATGGTGGCTTATCTTGTTGATGTGCTATTGATTTTGCTTTGCTAGTATTTTGTTGAGAATTTTTGCATCGATGTTTATAAGAGATATTGGTCTTTAATTTTCTTTTTTTGTTGTGTCTTGTCTTGGCTTTGGTATTATGGTGATACTAGCTTTGGAGAATGAGTTAGGGAGGATTCCCTCCTTCTCGATGTGAAATCATTTTGTAGGATAGGATCCAGTTC